GCAAGGTGGTAACTTATGACGTGTTCTTCCGCATATTGTTGGCGATGCAGACGATAATGAAGGCCATGGTGGATACGATAATGCTGTCGATACGTATTATTGATGGCAGCACCGATGCTAACGATATCTACAGAAACCGGACGTCTCTCTCGCTCTCTGTTTTGCTCATCCCTCTCTTTCGATCTCTCCTTACCTCCCTAGCGCTCATGATGCAGATCTGTTCTGCGCAATGTGTTTCTTCTGCATCCTCCTCCTCATCCCTTCTATATCACCGCCACGTGGGAGGTGGTAGCGGTTGCTCTCGCCCCATCTCTCTATCTCTCTCGCGTTCGCACTCTGTAGACATAACATGAATGGGGGAAATGGTGAGGGCAATGGTTGCTTCTTTTTTTTGTTCTCTCTCTCTCTCTCTCTCTCTCCCACATACACCTTCTGCCTCTCCCAAATCACAACGCAGGGTGGGCTTTGGGAGGGGGCGCTGGCTCCCCCTCGCACTGCGGGCACAACGCAAAAGAGGAGATCGGAAGGGTGAGTCGTTTCTCTCTCTCTCTCTCTCTATCCCTCTCTTTCTCTCTTCTTGTTTTGTTGTTTTCTCTCTCTCTCTCTCTCTTTCTGTCCCTCCTTCTCTCCCACTCTTCACACACAACAGAACATGCAAATTGGGAAAAGGGGGAAGCAGCTGCTATCTTCTGGGGCGGATCAACGGTTTCTCCTATACTTTTGCGCCCCCCCCACACACACGCAACACAGGGTGGGCAATGAGAAGGAACAGCGGTGATCCTCGCACCCTCCACGAGCACACGGGGGGGGTAATGGACATGGGGGTGTTGGCTGCTATTTGTTTTTCCTCTTTCTTTCTGTTTCTTCCTCTTCCCCTGCCTCCTCATCTCCCCCAATCATCTCTCACTAAATATACGTATGCCCGAATATGAAACAAGCAATACATTCAACAATGTGGTACATTATTGGTACATGTTTTTCCCTACCTAGGCTCTGCCTAGAAGTGTTCTTACTCTTTTAGCTTAAAAGGGGCCGGGCAGTGGAAAGCGCCCCGGGCGGTTCCCCCAGTCCCCTGGGAGCGGTTCCCCCCAGTCCCCTGGGAGCTTTAGCTTTAGCTTTAGCTTAACTTCAGCTTAGCTTTAGCTTAGCTGTAGCTTCGCTTTAGCTTAGCGTTTCGCTTAGCGTTTCGCTTAGCGTTTAGCTTAGCTTGAGCTTAGCTTGAGCTTAGCTGTAGCTTAGCTTTAGCTTAGCTTTAGCTTAGCTTTAGCTTAGCTTTAGCTTAGCTGTAGCTTAGCTTTAGTTTAGCTGCTGCTCAGCTTTAGCTTAGCTTTAGCTGAGCTTTAGCTTAGCTTTAGCTTAACTTTAGCTTAGCTGTGGCTTAGCTTTAGCTTAGTTTTAGCTTAGCTTTAGCTTAGCTTTAGCTCAGCTTTAGCTTAGCTTTAGCTTGGCTTTAGTTTAGCGTTACTGTTACTACTAATGCTGCTTTCCTAAGGGTTCCAACTCCTAGGTAGGTCGCACTGGGATAATTCTGTGCATACGTTTACAGATCACCGATGTGTACTGATATGTATATACACATATAATTCTATGAATGGGCCCATATGTTTACCGATTGTACACACACATGTGTTTCTTTCTACATATATATATATATATATTCAATACGCCAATGCATATCTGTAGATATGTCAACCACCCATCCTTGCATCAATCCATCCGTTTTATACATACATGCCTGAGCCTACAGACCAGAGCTGACGAGGCCTCCAAAGGGCAGTGAGGCCTCCAGGGGGCCTCAACCTTCTTCTCCTTTTTTCTCAGAAGGCCTCTGTACGGTGACGCGATATGCTGAGAAGACCGGCCACAAACACGATGCATCGGCTCCACCCGCAAGTCACACAGTTAAACCAAGTAAAAGTTAAAAGGAGAAAAAGAGGACAAGGAGGAGGGGAGGGATGGTGGTCAATTTGAACCAAAAATGGCCTGCGGACGGCCACGGTTTCGACGGCAATCAACGTTGTTTCACACTATACTCTGCCTGAGCCTACAGACCAGAGCTGACGAGGCCTCCAAAGGGCAGTGAGGCCTCCAGGGGGCCTCAACCTTCTCCTTTTTTCTCATAAGGCCTCTGCACGGTGACGCGAGATGCTGAAAAGACCGGCCACAGAAACGATGCATCGGCTCCCACTCCCGAACTGGATGCCTGGCAACCGCCGATGGGTTGACTGACCTCAACGCGAGACTAAAGCGAGGAACGCTGATGTACCGGGGCTTCCTTCGTTGAAAATCCTGCTATGTACCGGGGTTTCGTGCGTTGAAATTTCTGCTGGAAGGCGGCGGAAGCGGCTGGCCAGCAAGGAAGAGCGGAGCGCCGACCGTGCCCTGGGCACGCAGGACGGAGCGGGACAGAGGAGCAGCAGCAGGCGCAGCGAAATGGACAGGAGGAGGCCAGGGAGGGGATCAGGACACGAGCTGCCGGAGGTGGCGCTGCTCACGAAATCCGCACTCTGAGCGATCCAGTCGGCGACTGCTCGCGCAACAGGAGCTGGGCACGGCTCCGACTGACTGATTCTCCGGCGGCCCTCCAGCACAAGGTGGGGCCTGCCGGTCCGAGAGCAAACGCCTCTGGAACCGCTGCGAAGGCGCCGCAGCGGGGCAGGCGGGGGCAAGAGCCCCCAGCCCAGAAAACGGATGCGCTTGCGCCATCTAGTGCCGTGCTGGCAGTGGTCGGTAGTCGCGCTGCGCGCTGACGGGCGAGCGGCCAACGCCATCATTTGAAGCGTGGCCCAGGCACACGAGGAAGCGGGATTCTCGCACAGGACTGGCACCCGTGATTTCATACACATTGCGATGTCAACCGTGGCCAGCAGCGTCGAGCTTCCAAGCTGAAGGATGCGATAACTCTGGTGCGAGAGGCCGGGGCGGCCCCATAAAAAGTCAGGCACTCTTTAATGGCCCCGAGAAGCCTGCGACCAGGTCGCGCAAGGGAAACTGACAAAAACTCCTCTCACCACGCCGCTATTCAGCCAGCCGCGCAGCATGCGGAGGAACGCGGGTCTGGCCACATCAAAGGCAGGGTCGTCTTTCAAGTCTAAGGTGATGTCGCCGCATGGCCCGCGGCGAGCCCACCTTGCCGAGAACCGGCCCGCGCCGGCGAAGATCTCGATGAAGACTTGGCTCTTGTTCTTCCCTCTCCTGAGGGCGGACTGCAGCACGCAGCGGAGGCGCCTCCGAAGGGCCAAGTCCGTCACTGGCGCCATGCACTCAACGGCGTCGCCCCTCCGCCAGGCCGCGCCGCTGTCTACTGCAGCGGCGGCGCGGCCTTTGGGGGCGCCGTCGCTCCGCGCCCAGCGCTGAGGATCGGCGCCAACCGCTCCTCCACCGTCTTGGCGTAGGCGATGATGGCCGGGTCCAGCCGATGGCACTCCGCGAGGTATCGGGCCTGCCGCGCGTGCTGGGCCGTGCTGCCTGGCGCTGCATGTCGAAGCAGCGCCTGCACCGACCTGAGCGGGACCTGGTCCACCGCCACCGCGCGCGAGGCCCAGCCGTGGCGGATGCTGTAGATGTCCCAGCTGGGCTCCCCGGGGAGGACGAGCAGCTTCTCCGCGTCGCGGCGGAACCCGCTGGCCGGCCGCGACCAAAGCGCGCGCGGCCCTGGCTGGTGCTGCAGCAGCCTGCTGAACCAGGGACCAAGGGCCTGCGACGCGAGCGAGCTCAAGAACAACCCCTCGTCGAACAGGTTCGCCATGGACGTCTGGCCGAGCTCCTCCGGGTAGAGCAGCAGGGCCCACTGGGGCTTGCCCAGGCTCGGCGCAGGTGGCACCAGCGAGGCCGTCGTCAGGCTGACGAGGTCCGACGGCACCCGGAGCGCGGCGTCCCATCATAGGAAGAGCGCTCGCGCCAGCTCCAGGTCCTTCCCCCGCGCGGCAGCCCCCACCAGTGCCAGCAGAAGAGCCCGCGGCATGGGCGGGCGCGCGTTGCCCCGCGCGGCCTTCCGTTGCCCCGCGAGGCCTTCCGGAAGCCGGCCAGCGCGGCCCGAGCTCCCGGCGGCGCGGCAACTGCATCTAGCCCGAGGCTCGGCCAGCGCAGTCGGAGCCCCGCGATCATCTTCTCCCCCTTGTCGTGGTTGTCGCCCTCGAAGAACTCCTCGTCCAAGTACCTCGCGAGCCCCTGGTCCAGCGCCTGCATTGGCCGCACTGGGAGGCCCTTTGCGGCCATCCAGTCCAGGAAGAGCTGGCTCTCCGACTCCGTGTGCCGGCAAGCTCCAGCGCCGACCCGAGCTCGCCGCAGGAAAGACTGGCCTCTCCCGCGGGCCTCCTCCGCCTCGCCGCCGAGCTCGCGCCGGCGAGCCTGGCCGCGAGCCTTGCGGCGAGCCGTAGCCGCCGTCGCTCGTGGCCCAGTCGCCGTCGGCGCCTTGGCCGTCGCCCTCCGAGCTCGTGGAGCTGACGGGCGAGCTGCTGCGGGGGCTGGGCGGCCGGCCGCCGAACCGAGGCGCCGCGGCGCCCCCGGGGGCCGGGTCGGGGTTGAGGCCGTCCCCGAGAGGGGCAAGCCCAGGAGGAGGCCGGCGGCGGGCGGCCTCCGCCGCAACGGCGGCAGCGTGGGCCGCATCGGCCGCCGCAGCAGGGCCCCGGGGCGCGCCGAAGGCAGCGTGGCGCCGGTCCCAGGCCGGGCCCCGCGGGACTGGCCCATTGGACCTCGAGGGGCCGTCTGCAGGGTTCCACTCCGAAGGGGTCCATCTGATGACGACGCTGGTGTTGGTGAGGATAGAGAGAGAGGGAGAGAGACAACATCTGGCGACATAGTGCATTGATCGAGGTGGTAGAGCTTCCCTCCTTCCCAAACGCGAGAACGAGTCCGAAGTTAGAGGAGCAAGAAACGCGAGTCCCGGGCCTCCAGGGACGAAGCCGATGGCGAACCTCCATCAAAGCCGCGCGCCCTTCCAGGATCATAATGTTCTCGTCTCTTCCAAAAATGCCGTGCAACAACATCCTCCAATCATCCTTCATCCCGACAAAATCGAAGCTGACGCTCGAGAAGTCCGTGATAGAGCTGACGGGTGGAATGATAGGGCTGACGTCTGTTTTCTGTAGTGCATGTTGCCGCGCCGTGATCATGTCCTCGGTGGCGTAGCGCCACCGCTCAGCCTGAGCCATGACGTCGCGGGCGGCCGACCGAGTCACCGTCCGCTCGGCGGCGCCGAAAGCGCCGGCAACGGAGCCGCCGCGGGACGCGTCGGTGGCCAGCGCCCGGTCAGAGAAAGGCCTCCTGGAGTCCATGAAAGCGAACAGGATCAGGTTGGCGGCGTCCAGGAGCTCGCGACGAACACCACTCCACGCGCGCCAGCGCGGGGGCCCCGCCTCGCGGGCGAAGATGTGCCCGAGCTGGAAGACGGCGAGCAGCTCCCTCCGGAGAAGCGCGCCCCCCGGCGCAGTGGCCGATGAGCCGCTCGACCGTCCCTGCTTGCCCGTGAGGTAGGGGGCGGAGGCAGCCTCGATCAGCGCCAGTCGGGTCTTCCACATGCGCTCGCGAGGGAGCGACGCGATGCCCGACTCGGCGTCGAAGACGAGGCCACTGAACTTCTGGTCAGGGCCCGCGGCGACCACGCCCTTGCAGAGCAAGTCCCGTGCGGTGAGGGCCCACTCCACCTTCTCGCAGTCGGCGTTCACGTCCGTCGAAGCCCCGACGACGGCGACCCCGTCGACGTGGACCGCGGCCGCGTTCACCTCCGCAATCGGCGAGGTGCTGTGGCGGCCCCTCACCCACTGCTCCGCTCCGAAGCCCGAGGCCAGCACGGCGCCGGTGACGAGCTCTTGGCAGAAGTAGAGGCTGTGACTTCACCCCATGGGCAAGACACTCAACCGAGGGCTGAAGCGTCCTCTCACGAGCCAGGCGGGATCGATCAGCTTCGCCAAGTCGGGGCGAACCTTCTCGAACGCACTGAACAACGCGGCAGGCAGCAGTAAATATTGATCCAGTCCAGGAGGTAGATCGATACGATAAAAGGCGCTGTCGACGTCGAGCTGCGCCACGTGCAGGAGGCCCCCCTCAGGCGTCTCTAGACTCTGCCAGCTGCCTTGGGTGGCCAGCACGGTGTGGTGCGGGTCTACGAACCGGGAATTGACCAACCTTGCATCGATGATCGGCCGCAGCTGCCCAGACGTCTTCCGCACAAGAAAGATACCAACTGTGTGCGGGCCCTTGGGCCCACAAGCCGCCGCGCCAGCGTCCACTGGGTCCCCCACGAACTTCGCGTAGGCAACTGGGTCCGAGACCAGCGCGGGGTCTGAGCACGGGCGGATGCTCGGAGCGTCCCCGAGGTCCTCTAATCGCAACAACCGCTGGCGCCAATCTACCCACAACTCCCGAGATTCCCCCGTCAACTACTCTGCCGGCTGGCAATGTGAACCGGGCGCCGGCAGGGCGACATTGCCCTCCTGGTAGGTGGCGCGCTGCTCCGGCTCCTGCACGTAGCCGGGGCGGGCACCGCACAGCCCTGTGAGGGCTGCCGCGGCCGAGCCGATGGGAAGACCGGCTCGTTGAATTACTTCGCGAAGATGCTCCAAAAAATGCAAGCTGCGCCGAAGATGGCCGAGCAGAGAACCCAGCTCTCCCAGCTCCGCACAGCGAATTAAGGGTGTCGACGACGTCACCGGCGAGCGTGTGCACGTGGCCTCGGCGCCGCAGGCGCGAGCGAACGGAGCGGGGCACGCCGCCGAGCTCCGCCGCGGGGATGGCCTCGCGAAGCGCCGCCAGAGGCAACCGCTCTCGCAAGACCGGGGGCCCGCCCATGGCTACTCGGCCGCGGCGGGCCCGCGGCCGCGCCCCTGCCGCCCTCGACGGCCTGGAGGCGGCGGATCTCCTCCGCCTGCCGCGCCGCCTTCTTCTCGAGCTCGGTCGTGCCAGAAGCCCCGGCCGCGCCGCCGCTGGCGCGCCCGCCAGGCGGGCGCGCTGCCATGCGCTCCGCGCGCACCCTCCTCCTCTCCTTGGCGGTGGCGCACTCCCGGCGCAGCTCCTGACTGATGTGGCCCTGGAGACCCGGGGCCACCATGATGAGGCCCCGGGTCTCACCAGTGCCGAGGTACAGGAACTCGTCCTCCAACAGGTCGTCCGAGCCAGCGCGCGATGTCAAACGCTCACGGTGCCGCCATTCTGCGAGTTGAACCTTCCTCATCAAGAGCTCGACGCAAGCCAGCTCGGTGATATTCAATTGATCGAAGCATGCCGATATCTCAAGAAACCTCATGGCCAGCTCGTGGACCCCGACGCCAGTGTCCGAAGCGCCCAGACCACGCTCATGGCGCCACTTGGCGTGGCGGCTCCGAGGATGCTGATCCTGCTCGGCAATGAACTGGGCGCGCCAGGCCGTGGTGCGAGGGCCGCGGATCGGCCAGCCATCCCAGTGGCTCTCTGTCAGCAGCTCGGCACTCTCCCTGAAGTTCCTGCGCCGCTCGCCGTCGGCCGCGGTCTCCACCGACAGGGCGCGAGCGTCGAGGTCGGCGTTGGCCTCCGCGGCGGCGCCCTCTTTGAGCAGCAGCACCTCGTCGCCCTGCCGCGCCGCCGCGAAACCTGCGATGGCAGCGTGCTCGTCCACCGCCGCATTCCCGATGATGGTGTGCACGCTGGCATTGCCCGAGGGGCCCTTCACGATCCAAACGTTCGGCGCCGCGTCCGGCTGGTGCTCGTAGCCCGCGTCGATGCTACCAGTCTGAGTCGCTCCAGACACTATCGGCTGCTCGCCCGCTAGCCGGCGCCTCGCTCCTGGCCGGGCGCCGGATGAGCGGCTGCCCCCGTCGGGGCTGGGCTGGGGGCTGACCCGGGCCACCTCCAGGGCGGCGAAGAGCTCCATCGGCGATGGCTGCCAGTCGTGGCCGTGCACCTTCGCGATCTTCCGAAGCACTGCCCCCGCTGCGCTCTCCTGAATGATATGGTTCTCGTCGTCGAGCGCCGCCGCTCCTGAAAGCCCAGGGGCCGTCAATGCGTGTGGGTGCGCGTCGCCGTCCGGGGTTATCGCGAACCGCAGCTGCCCTGCCCTGTTGGCCCCAGCTGGCGGCTCCGTCTCCATCGCGCTCTCGAAGTCGCTCTCGGAGCATGGCGTGAGCAAGATCCGGAGCTGCCAGTCCGCGCCCTTCACCCACTGCCCGGCGACCCGCCGGCCGGGGCATAGGACAGCCGCAGGCGGCATAGATGCGCGCGGCGGCCGCCCCGAGCAACGCCCCGAAGGCGAACAGAGGCGCAGCACCCGTCCAGAAACTGCCCAGAACCTGGCGAGCCAGCAGGCACTTGCTGGCTGTGTCTAGATCCACAAGCGCACTGAGTGCGTGGAAAGAGGATCGGAACGTGCTGGCAGCCACGCTCACAAGTGCCAGGAAACCCATCGGACGCCGTCAACTTGAACCAAGAATGGCCTGCGGACGGCCACGGTTCCGACGGCGACCAACGTTGTTTCACACTATAATCTATACTTGTACATATGTATGTTTATCCGTCGCTGGTATATTCACATTCACCCGAGGGCCTGACCAGAAGGGGCGAGGGTGAGGCGAGAGAGGAGGGAAGCCCCGGAGCACTCGCCGATCTCTTTTTCAAATCACTCCAGATCTGGCAACTGGTTGCCTCCATGAGGCCATCTCGCTGGAAGAAGGGCTTGCTGAGTGCAAAATCGACTGCAGCCCCACCGAGGCAGGACAATTCAAATGCCCCCGGGAGCCACGAAGTGTAACAGAGCAGACGATTTGGACAAAATTAAACAGCCGTCACCAAGGGGGAAAAAAAACATGCCTTTTTGTTCGGGGCAGGGCGGGACGGGTCACTGTGAGCCAATGCGATTAAGGAGGAGGCCAGGGGGGGGCGAGGAACGCTTCATAACATTCTGCAAGCCCCCCGAAAGCGGAGGGGGCACTCGGCGTCTCCTCGGGTCAGTAACTGCACGCCGTATCTACAATCGTGAGACTGATGAATAGATGCTTCACCCGAGGGCCTGACCAGAAGGGGCGAGAGAGAGGCGAGAGAGGAGGGAAGCCCCGCAGCCCTCGCCGATCTCTTTCTCACATCACTCCAGATCTGGCAACTGGTTGCTTCCATGGGGCCATCTCGCTAGAAGATTGGCTACAAAATCGACTGCAGCCTCGCCGAGGCAGGGCAACTCAAATACTCCGGGAAGCCACGACATGTAACAGAGCAGACGATTTTGACAACATTCAACAGTCGTCACCCATAACCATTACATATATGATTCACGGGCGGGCGGGTTGGGACACAATTCACAGATGGCGAAGATACGGAAGAACAGAACTTCCAAGCACGAGGCTGGAAGCGCACGCCTGTAGCTCGAAGCAGTTTCTGTTCGAGCCGATCTGCCGCACGTTTGAACTGCCGCTGCTGCTCAGGAGAAAGGCGGCTCACTTGCCTCAGGGGCCGACCTTCCTTGCCGAGCCGCGCCGCTGAGCGGTCGCCGAGCCGGCCGCCGCGCTTCTCCAGCACCGGAAGCGCGGCGAGGCTTGAGGTAGTCGGGGGGGGGGGGGGGGGGGGGGCGCCATGGCGCAGAGCACGCGGTGGCACCTTCAGCGCTGCCAGCCCGAGGTGCCAGCTGGCCTCTCGGAAGAGGCGCTCGTAGGTGGCCAGCGCGAGCTCGTCGAACAGCCGCTGGACACGGCGCGCCTTGGCTCGCGGGCCACCAGCCGTCGAACCAGTTGCCGGAGCCAACCTCGGGATCGGTCGAGAGAGCCAGCCGCCGCGGCGTCGTCAACCTGTCGGTTCTTACTCGGGCGCGGGGCGTTGCCGTCTGAAGGGGCCACGATAAGAGCCACTCTGTCATGGCGGCCGCCAGCCCTGCTGGAGGGCAGCGCGACGTGCTTGGTCGAGAGGTTGACCGCGGCACCTGGGCGAAGGTGGGTGTCAAACTGCAGAGCGCCGCAGGCTGCGGCGACGATGGCGTCGGCCGTTCCCAGCTCGAGCCAGTGGTCAGCGATCGCAGCGAACACCTCCCAAGGGCAAGGGTCCGGGCTGAGCTCCGGACAGGCCTTGACCCAGCCTGCCAGCGCCTTCGCGGCGCGCGGCGGGCTGCGCGAAGGCGCCGCGACGCCGCGGGCGCGCGCGGCCGAAGTGGGCGCGCCGGCCTGCGAAAGCCAAAGTACGCGGAGAGGCTGGCGTCTAGCTGATGCAGCGGCGTCAGCACACGTGGCGGGGCCTGCTGGCTGGCCTAGTGGACGAAGTCCGCGGAGCACGACTCGTAGTTCAGGAGGGTCCCCGTGCCGACGGTCTTGCGCTCCAGGAACCTCTCACCCGGGTCGTGGCCTGCAGCGGCCCATTGGCTGGCAGCCGTAGCAGCGCGTCGCCGTTCTCGATCGGGTAGCTGCTCGCCGAGGGCAGACCCAGACCGCCCGCTGGCCCCAGTGCTTGAGGGCGTCCTTCCACGGGCTCTGGTAACACCTGGGGCAGACGGGCCGGACGACGTCGGTCGGGACAGGGCAGCCGCAGGCTCGCGCCAGGTCGGCTTCCCATCGCTCCAGCGAGGCAGCATCGGCCCCGCGGGCCGCGCCCGGCGCCGCCTGGGCCAAAATGTCGGCCCAGGAGCGGCACAATCAAGGGGGAGATAACGCCCTGCCAGAACGGTCTTCCAGGCCCAGCGCCCCCGGACCTCGTCGGGCCCAGGAGGCAGAAGCACTTTCCCTTCGAGAATCTCATGATGATGGCTTCCCGGAGAAAGACGATGTAGCCCACGCAGGGCCTCCATGTTAGTTGCCAGGAGGGTCGGTTTGAGATATCCCGCTCCGTATGCACAGTTGTCGTATCGGACAAAGATCGCGCCCTGATTCTGCAGCTCTTTCCTAAGGGGCTCCCAGGAGAAAAGCCTTGATGAACGCGGATTCTCGGGCGAGTAGAGGACGCCGCACCGCTTGCAGAGTTCGACGAGGCCCAACGAGAACTTAGCCAGCTGAAGGCCTCCAAGAACTGCAGAGCTCGAGCCCGTCGCGCGGGCCCTCGACCAGGTTGCGCATGGGGGGCCCCAGGTGAGGGTGCCACAGGGGCCCCCGCTTGACCGAGCCCTTGATGTGCCTCTGGGTCCTCTGCTTCGAGACGTCCATGCGGGGGCTCCTGGAGATTTCGATGGGGCACCCGATGTTGAGGTCGGCCTCCTGGCAGGCGGCGGAGAGGGCGGCGCGGCCCGCGAAGATCTCCAACACGAACTGATGCTGAGCTGACGTCTTGACACCAGAAGCGTTGTTTTTCTTGTTTTCCCCAGCAGTCCGTGAGCGAGGGCCCCGCCGTCTGGTTCGCCGGCGAGGCCCCCGGAGGGTCCGCCGATCCCGGAGAGGGATCGGAGCCAAAATGGTGTTTTTTTCCATGGCTAGACCCGACCACTTGTTTAAGTGTTGGCGTCTGCCGATCACTTTTTCGCCGTCTAGATGCATGCGTTGCACGCGCGCAACATACATATATATATATATATATATATAAATAATATATAATATATATATATATATATATATACCATATATAGATATATGTATATATATATATAATAATATGTATATAGATATATATATATATAGTACACATGGTATACGAAACCCGAGGCCAGGCGGCCTTGATCCACAGGCTCCGGGGAGGAGGGGAGGAGGAGGGAGAAGAAGGACGACGATGAAGGTGAGGAGGAGGAGTGGGGACCATGTGGGGGGGTTGGGGGGGGGGGGAGGAGAGGAGGAGGAAGAGTAAAATAGGCGGGAGGGGGGGGCGAGGAGGAGGGGGAGGGTTGGAGAGGCGGAACGAGAGGTAGGAGGATGAGGAGGAGAGGCGGACGAGGGGATGAGGGAGGAAGGAGGTGAGGAGGGGGGAGGGTGGAGAGCGGCGGCGGCGGCCGGGAAGTATCAGCTCTCGCGGGAATCAAGCTTGATCGTCGGGTTTTGTCACGCAGGCGCCATTCGTTCAAAGCCCCTTGAGTCAAAACAGGGGGCGAGGATGAAGAGAGGGAGGGCGAGTGCGAGGAGGGCGGCGGCGAGGCGGGGAACGGGGAGGAGAAGGAACAGGAGGAATGCAGAGATGGGGAGCGGATGGTTGGGAGGAGAAGGAGGAACAAGGAGATAATGATGAGGAAGAAGCATGAGGAAGGAGGAGGGCGGAGGAGGGAGAGGAGACAGAGGGCGGGGGAGGAGGGAGGAGGAGGAGGAGAGGGAGGAGGAAGCAGGAGGATGAGAGGGAGGAGGAAGAGGGGGGAGGAAGGAGTAGGAGGAGGAGAGATGATTCTAGTACGAGGAGGGGTGAGGGATGATGAGTAGGGATGGATTAAGGAGGGGCTTAGGAGGATGATGTTTGGGGGGATGAGGAGGAGGAGGAGGAGAAGGAGAAGGCGGAGGAGGAGGAGGAGGAGGGGAGGAAACTGAGGAGAGTGAATAATGAGAAGCGGAGCGGGGAGAAGAGGGGAGGAGGCAGCAGCAGCAGCAGCAGCATCAGCAGCAAACGCATCAGCAGCATCGGCCAGCTAACGTTTCCAATGCGCTGTCGTTGAGCATTTTGCTGATTTGGTTCCCCAGGCGCCGAACACGTTTAAACCGAGAACCGTGTCCCAGGGAGTCGTCGACGAGATGTGTTTCAGGCAAAACCTCGTTTCAATGTCGTGCCAGCGAATGCGCATCGGAAGCTCGAACTGCGAGAGTGGACCACATCTTCTCTGACATTCTCGAAACGGCGCGTTGATCCCAACAGCGGCGGGGCAGGGCTGGGACAGCAGGGTGAGCCAGCGCGCACCTCGTGGACGATGTCCACTTTATCCCTCATTGTTCTACCCATCCGCATCCTCCTCCTCGTCTTTATCCTCCTCCTCCTCCTCCTTCTCCTGCTCATCTTTCATCTCCCTCCGCCCCTCCTGCTCATTCTCCCCGACCCCCCCCCTCCCCCCCCTCCTCCCTCATCGCCGGTATCCCCCTCGCCCTCCTCGTCTTCTTCCTTCTCATCCGCATCTTCCTCCTCCCTCCTCCTATCCTCAGCATCACCCTTCATTATCCCTCCTGCCCTCTCTGCCCGCATCCGCTGCTCCCTCCACCTTCTCGTCCGCCTGCTCCTCCCTCTCATCGTAGTTCGTCTTATCATCCTATCCTCCTCCTCCTCCTCCTCCTCCTCATCCTCCTCCTTTTTCCT